AATAATCTTCATCAAAATTCTATTAATCTTTAGTAATTCTCTTCTCTTTTAAAAGCATGAAAGTTTTTACTACACTATGGGAAAAACATGATTGAACCCATGAAATAGATTATCAAACTTTCATCAATTAATTAAAAAGAAAACTACAAATTCCATTTGAACAAATACTACAAATTCACATTAAAGCTTAAGTTTGGATCAAACTAATAAAAATTACACACTTATATTAAAAGCTAGCCTACGGAACCATGAGGTATTAGAATCCACACCATCATTCCATAAGATTCTAATTATTTATCTTTCAATTCCCATGGAGTAGCAATCTAGAAATCAATCTACTGCTTTCTCAAGATTTATCAATTAAGCTTGTAATGTAGATTATAAGTAAATTTTCCTTCCCTTCATAAGTACAAATTCTAAGCATAATATGTAAACAAAATTATTTAACTACAAAGGATCAAAGTTTCCTAAGCGTCCTATGTGAAAAAGTTCATTTGAATAACAAAATATCAAAGAAATTTGTAAATTAGAAATATAAACCAAGGATGAATTAATAGATTAATCCAAACTCTTAACTACCACAAATACATGTTATATCTCACAATACATGATAGAAGTGGTGAAAAGAAGATTAATCTATTAATCATGTGAAGTGAAAATTATAATCATTGAACACCACAATAATTGAGAATTGAAAATAAAAACTAGAACTTTATTTAATAATGGTGTTTCATCCAACCTTAGTTAAGTATTTTAAATAGACATAATTAATATTTAAAACAAAACAAAGAAACTAAAATACATAAATTAAATGAGAACTAGGAAAGGAAGAACAAGTTTAAAAGAGTTATTAGCTCTTGGTTCTTTCCTTTCCATCATTGTTCTCTTTCTTCCTCACTCTTTCTCTCTTTCTTTTGCCGTGTGTTTCTTCTGAATTTCTCCACTTGCTCCATCTCATCTCTCGTATCTTATAAAAAACTGCAGCAACTTTCCTCAAATTGTAGCTAGATAACAACTCAAACATCATCATTCTTCTTTGCATTCATTGGTTGTAAGTAGTCAATTTGAACTTCTCCTTCATTGTTTATTCATTCTTTCTTTATTTCTTCAATGATGGAGGCTTGCATGCATGTCCTAGAGCATATTAATGCAATTGATTGCTTCTTCTTTGGTTTTGGCATTGAACCACACGTTGTCTTGAGCATATTTCCTTGACTATGACTGCACACATTTTCATCTTTCTTCTACCTTCTTTTTGCAACACATTACTTATTCCTCCTCCTCCTCATGCCATTGGTGGAAGACACTTAATATCTACAAATAACCACTCATTAAATATAAAAACAAGATTTGGAATGAAACAATATAAATACTCTAATAGATTTACATAAAACAAAAGAAAATACTAACAACTATAAATTTAAGAATAAAACTTGTATTAATTTTGTGCTCATCATGACCTACATCTAAAACCAAAAACACGAGGACTAGACCCAATGACAACTAATCGTTTTGGACCTAGATCTAAGAACCCCTACATATAATTGACGCTACATTATTAAATCGTGCTGGCGGATTGTACACCGTTGTTCGTCTTATAATATTTCTCACACGAGAACATGGTCGAATAATGCCCTCTTTTGGCATCTAAAGACATGTTTGGAAGCGTTTGATGGTGGTAGGTACCAACTAGCCAGATTAACGTTATTAAACATGATGTGTGTTTTATATGCGTGTCTGCACCAAGTCATAGCCAGGAGAACTTTGTTATACTTGTTAAGAAAGGACTTCACTACAAATGCATGAATATCACTGTAAGAGGTGACAATTCCGACATGGCACAATAAACCACTCAAAATTCACAAGAATTTATTCGGATCAACCCATAAAAGGATATGGGATAATTTGGGTCAATCTTCCAAAATATTATAAATAAACAAGTGAGTTTTGGTCAGCCCTCCAAACTCCATAATGACATAATCAATCCGTTTTAATAAACGGGTTATGTCAACATGTTTACAACCAGATACCTTGTCCAGGAAGATCCATTTTTGACAATATTCTTATTGCTCATGAATTATTCCATGATTTTAAGCGTAAGAAAGGTTCCAGAGGTGCTATGGCTATCAAACTTGACCTTGAAAAGGCTTATGATTTACTTGACTGGAATTATATTAGAAGTTGCCTGTCTCAATTTGGCTTTAGCAATAATTGGTGTGATCGTATTATGAATTGTGTTTCAAGCACTTCTTTCTCCATGCTGATTAATGGATCTCCATATGGCCACTTTAATGCTTCTCTAGGTATTCGTCAAGGAGATCCTTTATCTCCTTACATCTTTATTCTTTGCATGGAGCCTTTTATAAGGCAATTTAATATTCTTGCTCAAAATCCTAAAACTAATGTAGGTCACCTCTCTTCACATGGAGGTGATCGTATTTCTAACCTGGTTTTTGCAGATGATTGTCTTATTTTTGCTAGGGCTACTGCTATGGCTCCCAGAAACATCAATCACTTATTAGAAAACTTCTCCAAAGTGTCAGGGCAGAAAATCAACCTGCACAAGTCCACCGTCTATTTTTCTAGCAATGTCCATTCTCAAGCTAGGATTGCTCTAAGCAACCTTCTGCAAATTCAACATAAATCCACTCTTGGTCGGTACCTTGGCATACAAAATATTATCTTTTGGAAAGACCCTGTTAATGCCAAGATGATGATAGATAGAATTCGTTCCAAGTTTGCTGGCTGGAAGGCCCAAACTTTATCTAGGGTGGGGTGTCTCACCTTGATCAAGGCTAGTGTTACAGGTATCCCGAACCACACTCTTTCTAGTTTTAAATGCCCCAA